TTTTCCGGATTGCAGCGGCTGCATTTGGGTCGATAGACCTCCGGAGCTCCACAACCGTAACAGAACACCGTTCTGATTTCGAAGCAATCGAAGTATCTATGCCCCTCTCGTCGGCAATTCCAGCATATTTGTTTTGCTTCAGCTGACAGCTTGGAGATTTCATCGACTTCAGGCTCAATTCCTATACTTTCTGCTAGATCGTTTTCATCTTGTACCTCGTTGACGTAACGACGTGATTGCGGTCGCGGGTTTACATTTGGCAATGCGTTGGTTGACCTGTTTATCTCGTTAACAAGGCTCTCGCTCTTGAGACAAAGCCTACGCAATTCAGCTAAAGAATTTATTTGTACGTAAAGTAACTGTTGTCGTATACGGGGTCGTAAGTTATGTTGCAAAATTTCCATTAATTCCAATTCTGAAAACAGTGACTGCAAGGGTTCAGCTAGTTTAAGGACAGCGTTACGGAAGTCGTCGAAACTTTCATTTTGTCCCTGTTTTCTGCTGCGAACCATCTCTTTGATTTCAAAAGCAGTCTTGTGCTGCTGAAAGTTGGTACGCAGCGCTTCACAAAGCGAAGGCCACATAACACGTTCTACGGTACGGCGGTATCGCTAATACCAGTCCTTTGCTTCATTCAAGAACAAACTTTGAATGTGTTCGCACAGCAGATTTAAATTACCACCCAACGTGTCTATTACTTGGCATTCAAGCCGATAAAAAAAAACTGTCAACTGACAGCTTCGGTGAACCGTCAAATTTTATGTCCCAATTAGATATCAACTGAGCTATCCGGCCAGAGTTTGGGACACTCGATATGTCACTAAAACGTAACTGGTCAATCTGGTGGTGGAAGTTTTGGTTCGAGTTATGTGATAGGTTTGGAATACCTCTAGGCCAGAACGGCGTCGAGTTGTTCCGCGGCATATTAAGTTGGGGAACACTTACTTCGGGGCTACGATTTGCTGTTGGTTGAGCGGGTTGAGTGTTTAAGTTTAACCGAGTCATTAAATTGGACATAACATCTTCGAGCTTTTGTTCGATTAATTGCGAAACACGGTCTTCTAAATTATTAAAATTTGCAGCTTGCCTAGCGAAAATTACCGCGGATACGATATTACGAATCCGATTATCCTCGTCATTGACATCAACGCTAACTTCCGGTGCATTGGCAACAGGCAAACTTGCAGCATCTTCGGTTTGCTGTTGATAAGCTTGTAGATTTGTGGCAAAGTCGGGGTTCCTATTATTCGATTTTTCCTCGGAGTGTTGCGCCACACGAGCTCTAGTCTGTGCACCTGCGTTTTGACCGAACTCTCGGCTGTGACATTTCGCGCGGCATTGCGGACAATTGGAATTACGCTTTAGCCAGTTCAGCAGACAGGCCCTATGGAACTGGTGTGAGCAAGCCGTCAACAAATTATCATCATGTTCAGAGAACCGTTCGCGACAAATTGTACACAAATTTGCTATGATTCTACTATGATTCAACGGCATGGTCACAGGCCCAGATATCGAATAATGGCCAAAAAAAAATAAATATGAGGGAAAAGGAAAAAAAATATATAAAAACACCAAGCAGAAAGTAGAGTTGTCAAACTATCGATGGCACTATCGATAGTTTCAATTTTTTTAGACTATCAATACACATTGATATTTTTTTCTTATACTATCAAAAATATCGATAGTTTAGTAGGACTATCGAACTATTGTTGGTAATACCTGAATTTTTTAATTTGAATTAAAAATTTTGTTTTTTAGTGTGATGCCGACGTCATATTCAAATATGCACGCATTTAGGCCAACATACATACATGTGTTAATCGTAAATCCTGTTTTATTTGTATAACTTGTGTTTTTTTTTGAACTTTCTAAAAAGAGAAGTATTTTGGCTAAGCAGTTACTTAATTTTGAATGATTATAACTTTTATAAGATAATATTTATTTCACTATGATCCTGTAAAAACAAAGCAACATAACTGATTTAGCGCTATCGATAGTGCTATCGATAGTTTTGTTTTTTTTTTTCGAGACTATCGTGAATATTGATAGTTTTTCTGAAAACTATCAAAACTATCGATGGTGTGACTATCGATAGTTTGACACCTCTAACAGAAAGAGAACCAACCTGCCGATAATAAAACCAAAATCTAGCCGAGTGATAAAGAATGGAGGTGTTAAGTATTTTTGTAGTTATAAAACAAAAATTCGTTTGTAATTTCTTACTAAGGGATCGTCCAACTCAAAAGTAGAAAAAAAACAAAAAAAAAATATTTTCTGGTGTGTTTATTAAAAAGTCAGCTAGAATGTGTTTCTGACTATTCTTTATTTTTTTTTATTTTTTAAGGGTATTACTAGTTTAATTCATTAATATACTGAATTCAATATTTCACAAGATTGTGAAAAGAACAAATCATTTCGAAAAACCCGGTATTTAATAAATTAGCATTGGTGTACAAAAGCGTCAAAAAATACTTTAAGCCTTGTTAATACAAACGCAAAAAAAAAATAAAAATGTTCCAAGTGGTATTTATAGAAATTTCACAAAACTAAACTTTTATATTTACCAATAGTAACTAAACCGATGTATTTTAATTGCCCCAGAAACCTGAATCAAACAAAATTTAATCGGTTCAAAATCGTCAAAAATCAAAAGAAAAATATATCAAGCAAATAAAAATAACAAAAGATAGATAAGGTCTGTTTCTTCGGTCGTGAGGTGGTCAAAGTCGGTGATGGGTAATTCTAGACTAAAGTAAGCCGGCACTAATTATCTTAGAGCATTGATGACGAAGAAAATAAAACTAAAAAAAAACAAAACCTGATATCGGTTACTGCGAAATCTTCACAATAAAATTCCGAAAAATTTAAGAAAATTTAAAAAAAAAAACAAGAAAATTAAAAAAAAAATTGATGAAAAAGATCTCAAAGGGGAATTGAGAAAGTACAAAAATCAAAACTCGTTAAATATAAAAATTGAAAGAAAAAGCAGTTGGTAAGCTAGCAAGCATTTAGCCATACTACAGCTAAATTCCTAACAACCTAACAAAATCCACAGCCATAAAAGCTTTGAAATCTAAAGTGAAAGTACTAGTTGGATAACCATTTAAATGCATAATCCATTGCGGACAAATTCCTAAGCATACAACCTGAAGAAACTTCGATTCCAGCAAAAGTTTTTGTACTAGTCGTAATCAAACAAACTAAATGCGTACTTAACATAATTAAAACCTGGTCGAAACTGTAAGCATCTAGCTACTAGTTTCGAGTTCCAAAGCTTACTAAAAATGATCAGTTATACAAAAAAATTAAGAAAACCAGACGGACAGAAAAGTATTCCAAGAGGGAATAAAGTATGGAGCCACAAATCATTCAGTCTACGTGGGAGTAAGTCAGACTTGTGGGCCCCACGTTGGGAGCCATTTTCTGTTATGGTCTCAAAGGACAGGGTACACCTGGATCGATTTGGAGTCGATCAGAAGGGCTTGTGGAAGCGTCCTACCACTGCGGCGTGTGCATTGGCTTGTTCCCGGAGCTTCAGTCTGTGGGGGGGGGGGGTCATTACACAATAGTAGGACCAAGTCACCTTCTCCCTACACTAAAGACCTAACAAGAAATATTATATCTTGCACACTGATAAGAACGTACAAACTAACAATAAGCTACACAGTATCTACTCTCCTAACGTCTATTACCACATCACCTAGCAGTGCCATAAACTCTCTTGGGCCGCTCTGTACCCGCCCTACCTTGGCCTCTACGATGGTCAAAAGGCCCCATTGGACCACCTACACTTCCTTCGAAATCAGACCAACAATTAAAATTTAATTAATCATCATAATGCTATTTTATTA